CCGTGTCATGCAAACACAAACGACTGCACCAGAAAAAAGCCGCATTAAAATTTTCAGGTGCTCTACGTTAATGCCTGTGTCGTCTACACATGTCCCATAAGGCTAACCTAGGAGTGGAGCCAGAGGTGGCCCAATTGGGAAACACAGTCCAGTGCTCAGATAATGGAGCACTGTGCAAGTCTGCTGTTAATCTGTATTTTTGTGTTTGTATTTCTTGTTGAGATTACTAAAGAATCATATTTGGAGCTAAATTTGTGTGTTAAAATAGACTGTGCACCCAATAATAATAGTCTATGGCCTTCTAACATTAATTTACAGCTGTTACATTTTTATTTCTTGTAGATGATGCAATGATTAGCTGTCACTTAGCATTAGCTGGTTTTGTTTTAGATGGAAGGTTCTTTGTTTTTCTTTGGAATGTAGTGTAAATCAGGATTGGATTTTAGCAAGGACTAGAAAGGGTATATTAAATAACCATATGGAGCTAGTTCAGTCAGGAATCCCAATGTTATAAAATGTGTGCGATATTTTGGGAGAGGAGCTTTTCCTAAAGCAGCAATTCTCAATCAGGGTGCCATGGTACCCTCGGGCCCCTTGAGATCCTTTCAAGGGTGCTGCAGGGCATCATTCAACGTTAGCACTGTTAGGTGTGCAAGCTTGATTCATAAGATAAACTCCGAGATTTCACATGGGAATTCATAGTGTTAAAACCATTCTGACCTGCTGTGGCTGTTCAGAGTTCTTTTCAACAGAAGAATTGCTCTATAATTTTTTTTATAGTAAAAAAAGGAGTGAAAACTAAAAGCTGACATTTTCTAAGGGGTGTCTTGATTTAGTCTAGAAAGGTTTAGAACTGTTGGCATTTTTGCACGTGTGGGTGGCAGTGCTGGGCACTTTTGAAAGCGCTTTTCAAAGTGCCACACACGCAGTTGTATAAGTGGAAAAATGCATGTCAGTACTGAGAAAATGGTGGTAGCGTGCTTTTGAACTAAAACACCTCAGAGGTGCTTTAGTTCAAAAGCGCACCACTGCCATTTTCTGTGCGCTAATGTGCATATTGTCACTTATACAATTGCAAGCAACGCAGTGCAGTTCACCTCAGCTCATGTGCAAAGCAGACTCGATTAATTGAGTCTACTCTGAAGTGGTGAATCTCTGGCATGTTGCTGGAAAAAAACTGTGTGTATAAATCTCCATTGTCCTAGAGACAAAGCGTATGTTCAGATATGTAAGTTTGCAAGACAGTTAGAATGCAACCCACTGCTTTATGGAGGGTAACAGACACATAACACATGCTATTGTGGCTGTATTTTTATCAGGAATTAGTTTGGTCAATCCGGCAGAATTAAAACTAGAGGTCCCACTAAACTCAAGATATGCAAGAAGTTACAGTCATAGCTTCAGGGAAAGTGCTCTGAAATAAGCATGCACTCTTTGAGGAAAGTTTAAAAGAATTGTGTTATATGCAATTTACTTATGTTTACATGAGATGTTTTCTTGAGGATGGTAAGAATGTAAACATCAGTGCTCATTGTGCTTACCAGTAAGAGCTGATTATAACCATCTGCCATAAAATAGAATCAGAAAGGAGCTGACCCTTGTGTCTTTAGATATCTGCCTGCCTGACCTCAGTTTACAAAAACGTACAAGCATTGGAAGTGTTGTTATGTTGTTGCTTCCTGTTTGAATTCCCAATATCAATGACCTTCCAACATACAGAGCAATATAAATGCAAATCTTTCTGCCCAAAAGAGTACATGTTAAAGCTATACAATTGCATCTGTTTTCTTTCACAAGATTACTCACTCTTTGGAGGGATGTTTCGTGTTAGTAATTTTCACCCCCCTGCTTTCAAATAATGATGTCAATGATACTACCAATGTGCTTTTGATGAGCACAGATGCCAAATCTCCTGATTAACTTTGCCATGACTGAGACCCTATCAATTACCCTAGGGCTTTACAACATTGCAGGCCATTACCTAGACCAAGTTATTTTGTAGCAGGATTAGGGCATAGTTTATTAGTAGTACTAATAAAATGACAGCTGAACAAAGGCAAGCAGAGTGGCACTCTACAGTGAAGTTTGTGGATTCCCAACCAGAGACATTCAAGGCCTGCTTTTCATAGGGGCAACAACAACTCAAAAGGCAACCAGGCTATTGTATTTAGAGGCAGTGGTGTAGTGAGCTCATTGATCACCTGGGGCAGGGGAGAGGCTGGTGGTAAGGATATGCAGACTACAGTAGATGAGGAAGGGGAAGCAGCATTCTGCTTACCTCACCTGCCCCCCACACCGAAACAATGTTTAACGTGACACTGCACTGCCATGATCCTGCGGTCAGGCAGAGGCAGCGCAGGATTTCCTCCACTGTTGCAAAGGCTTGAGGGGGAAGGAGGAGAGAAAAGGACCATCATTCTCCTCCCCTCTCCCCTTCACCCCGTTCTCCAGATATTTCATAGATTTCATAGACATTAGGGCTGGAAGGGACCTTGGAAGGGACCTTGGAAGATCATCGAGTCCAACCCCCTGCCCTAGGGGCACGAAGTCAGCTGGCATTACAGGATCCCAGCAAGATAAACATCCAATTTTCTCTTGAAGGTGGTCAGAGTAGGTGCTTGAACCACCTCCGATGGCAGGCTATTCCAGACCTTGGGGGCTCGGACAGTAAAGAAATTCTTCCTGATGTCCCGCCTGAAACAGCCTTGCAGGAGTTTATAACCGTTCAACCTTGTCATCTCTTGGGGGGCTCTGGTGAACAATCGTTCCCTCAGATCCTGGTGAACACCCCTGATAAACTTATAGGTGGCCATCAGATCGCCCCTGAGCCTGCGCTTTTCCAGTCTGAAGAGCCCCTTAGCTCTCAGCCTGTCATCATAAGATCTGTTTTCTGTTCATGTTATGAATGCTGCGTGCCCCTTGGTGGCTGTGGAGGGCATGGTGAGCTCCAGCAGGTGGTGGCAGTGCTGGTGGTGGTAGAAGCATGGCAGTGGTAAGTGTGGAGCTCCCACAGGCAGCTGTGGCACTGTTGGTGGCTGAGGGGGGGGTGGGTGGGTGAGTGCCTACTGGTGGTTGGTGACCACCCGCAGACGCTGCCGGCAGTGTCAGAGGCGCCTTTTCATAGAGGGTGCACCGCCATGCTCAGGGGGTGCACGTGCACCTGCGTGTACCCCCTACATGTTGCCAGTGGTTCATGTTGCCTAGCTTCTGTGGTGGGGAATCATGGCACCCCCTCATAGTTAGCACCTAGGGCAGGCACTCCCCTTGCCAGCTGTATTTAGTACTGTCAAGAGGTCATTTGTAATTTGAGAGAAGTAAATAGCTGCATTAGTCTGAAGTTGGGCAGAAGTCAGGGTGGCACTTTAGGCCATTTATAGACATTATGTTTTTCTATGTTTAATCAGGACTCTCTTCTCTTTGGCAGTCCCTTGCAGTCAAGGATGATTGTCATATGCGTGTGTCTGAAGATGGCTGATGAGACCTATCCAGGATCAGCTCAGATATGTGTTTCTGTGTGGGGTGGGTGGCACTAGATTGCAGCTATCACTATATACACATGGACATCTGTAGTCAGATTAAAATTGGCTTCAGTCTGAATTGACTAATCCTCATTGAATGAGGATTAAAATGAATGCAGACTAGGGCAGTTTGAACTAGGCAATTTAAACTGTGTTAATTAACATGTGTATATGGCATTGCTTTTAGGAAAAACATGCCTTAGGAACTCAGCAGATAAGCATTGCAAATATCAATCCCTACAAGGCAAACTCAATTGGGTTTGTGCAACACAACAGAGGCTATCAGGCACAAAGTAACACTTTTATGAAGTTAAATGTGCCAACAACACCTCACCATGACTAAATATCAGTATCCTGACTAAACTCCCAGCTGTGCCCAAACACATGGGCTACTGCTTTGTGAAGGAAGGGGCAAACCTCCTCTCCCCCCCCACACACATTGACCAAGATGGTCATTAACAATCAGGTTAATTGCACCCATTAAGGTTTCCAGAACAGCACTTTGGATAACTGTCAGTTGGCTTGCAACAATGTAGCAGCACTTAAACAGGCTTATTATCACCTCCTAAGTACTTCCAACTGCAAGTGCTAAATGCATAAACCCTCACACAGAGGCTGTGAATTAAGTTTGTTAAGGGGCTGATGGTCATCATTTAATAAACCTTAATTCACATTGAAATTTGTTTCGAACTGTGTGATGTGAATCAGTTAACACAGTTTAGAAAATGGTGAGCACATCTACAAATAGCCTTGGAGACTAACTCATTTAGAAAGCGTTTCCCATGCGATAGCCTAATTCGCCAGATGCTTCATCATAACATCTGACCAAGTAGGCTGTTGGCTACAAAAGTTTATGCTTTTCTGAACAAGTTAGTTTCTAAGGGCATTTTTACATGTGCTCCAAGGGTGGAAGTGGTGGCACTTTAATTAGAGCAGTTCCGAGAGCTGCTACAATTAAAGTACTGTTGCATCTCATTTATCAGCATCCCTGTGCTTAAAAATGGCAGTGGGATGCTTAAAGCTCTAGTGTCCCCGCTTCTATTTTTAAGTTCAGGGACACTGATACATGAGCTGCAGGCGGCTGCTGGAGCACAGCAATAGCCACACTCCAGCGAACTCCACTAATTGAGTCTGGTTCAACGTGCTGGAATTCCAGCGCATTGAAGCAGCCTCCACACTCATGTATAGGCACCTTAAGATGCCACCTGCCCCTGCCTTCATTGTAATTTGAGTGAAGCTTTGATTCCCCTGTCATCCCCCCCCCCCCCCCCCCCCCCCTTTCTTCTTCG